CCCGATTTGTCAGTTTGCATTCCTCTGTGTAATGCCATACTTACACAGATGCCTCATGACCTGCCAGTCATGCTGGTATGTCTGCCATTACAAGTATCCTAACCCAATTGTTAGTAACAGTTACTGTAATATGAATATTACATAGGTGATTATCCAAATTTTCATTGTTTATAGGATTTGAACACCCAACCTACCACTTGGGGGTTGACAACCTGACCACTTCACTAGGTTGCCATACCCTACATTGATGCTTCTTAATACTGTTATTCAGCTAAGTCACATGCCATGTGACACAGCTAACCAAATAAGGGTGACCCAGCTAGAAAAATCAGAATCATCAGAAAGGACCAAAATGTAGGAAAAGTCCTTTCTGATGAAAAGAGCGAAGTAGGTAAATTAGTCAGTAATGGAGGGATCACTAATATAGTCATAATTATTATAGTCTTAGATAACAGTAATATAGACCAAGAAAATGTATATAAAATATTCTTATAAATAAAGGCCGTAAAGGCTCTAAGGAGAAATAGACCCCTTAGAGATACTTTGCTTTATTAAAAATAATAGCTGATCCCTTACATATTAATAAATATATAAACGTCTCCTTTAATACATTAACTAATTGCTAAGTCCCTAAATCATAAAAACCTGCTACTTGAATTTATCTGTTCTAATCTATAATATTGTTACACCTCCATCCGGCTGTTGTATCCTAAAGTACCAGGATCAGCCATGGTCACTCGAGTCCAACTATCCGAAGAAGTGTAATAGTTGAGATTATACGTATAGTCCAATTACCCAAAGTAGTGAGGTAATTGAAAGTTAAAGTTAGTAGACAGCTCAAGCAAGGAAAAGCAAGACAAGTAAAGAAGAAATACTTACCTATAGACCCAAACCATCGATCAAATCTAAATGCCTCTTTTCGACTAAGCCAACTATAGGTTACACGAAGTTTAGAATTGTGGAGCAACTGACTTGCCGTAATGCCTGATTTTAATACTAATGTGATATTTATAATATACTTGGTATATAGAAGATTGTTACTTATTAATTATTAAATTAAACAAAGGTTATAAAAGTATATGAATACTAGTTCATAAGTTTAATTTATCTAATTTTTTTATTCGTATTTTTTATAAAATTCTTTTTTTTAAAAAAAAAAGAAAAGGTAATCACAATAGTTTTTATTATTTTTGTTTAAAAGTTAAAATAATATATAAATAGATATTTATTATTATAATATAAAGATAAAAAAAAAATACAAAACAATAATTTTATAATTCAGTGAAATTAGTTACACTACTCTGATCAACTTAATCATTATTAATTTTCTGATTTGTCCGTTCAAAAGTAATCAATATAGATTTTGTTTCCAAGACAGCTTGAAGGTTTTGGCTTCTTCTAATAGTTGTTGCATCCATTCTTGATAAGGTTGCACATTCTTTTTGTAGAATTTTTTGAGTAGTCAGATAAACAGAATGATTATTTTTATGACTATGAGAAGCTGAATTTTTTTGAGATAAATATGACACATTAACTGATTGTATACTTGTGATCATATTATTATTATTATTATTTGTTGTAATTATTGTTAAGTCTTCTAATGTTAAGATATGTTTTCCAAATATTTTTTTATTATTTGTATTAGTATTAATATTAGGTTTTTAGTAATTAATTACACCAACTAAAAATGCATTACTACAATGACTAGTCTAATTAATACTATTTGTTTTATCAATAAATATATATGATTTTCATTATATCTGACTTCATGCCAAAAGTCAGAAGGTTTTTTTTCACCAATTTTTTCTTCAATATAGAATTTTAGTATTATGTTTCTATCTATATTTTTTATTATTTGTGTAATAAAACCTGTAACTACAATGTTCATTCAATTTGTAAGCATATTGTCAAAATCTAAAGTTGTAACTTTAATAGAAGTAGTACTAATCTTTAATATGTAATTAAAATATAGTAAGTATGTAATTTATTTATTTTTTTTTTTTTTTTAATATTAACGGTGAGGCCATGCCTTTAACTTTATTAAAATTCAATTGAAGTTTTTACAAAAAACAGCTTGCTTTTAAATTACATATAAAGAATAAAGACTCAGACATATAATCTGTGACCTAAATCTACAAGAGTGGCCAA